ATTTTAATAAAAATAAATTACCACTGAACTATTTTAAACTTTCTAAAACAATGTATTCATCGTCTATTCACGGTTCTAGATTTCTTTCCCTTAATGTAGGGTTGATTTTTGATACAGAAATTTTTTTTACATAGAGAATTAATTATTTGGTAATATATATTTAAACTTTAAACATTGACTTCAAATTAAAATTTTAAGTTGACAATACTATTAATCTTAAAATTCTATCAGTCACATCCTATGATAGGAATTAGAATGAAGGTGTGTCATATATTTTTGCTAGGAAAATAGAAAAAGGATTCGTCGGCAACCTTTTACTTCCACTCAATTTTTCCTTATAGAAAAGGGTTGTTAAAAGAACATTATTTAAAATGAAATGCACTTGAATTAGAAGATTGGTAGAAATATGGGATTAGTTCTTGCATAATAAGCTTAAAATTGCCCTGGAAGTACATTAAAAATTTTGGTTATGGCAAATAAGTATCAAGAAAAGTTAGATTAAAGTACTAGAAATCAACAAAAGATAGTGCAAAAAAATATAATTAGACAGAAAAGAAAACTGCAAGCAAAAAAATGAAAACTTGGCAGAAATTTGGAAAATGCAATAGAAGTGTAAAAGATTTTGAAATTAACTGAAATTGCAGATATGAATTTAAATTAAATTGAGTGTTTAGCTATTAAAAATCTTATAAAAACAAATAACAAAATAAGATAAATGTCAAAAAGATTAATCTTACCAATAATTAAACTAATTATGAACAATAATCTGCTGGAGAATGTTGATTTACTCCTACTGGAACTAAGAACTTAGAGAAAACTTATTAGAAAATAACCTTAATTTAAGAGATCATTGGGTTAGACAAAATTAATGGTTAAACCTTCAATTGGGTCCCTGAACTATTATATGGATCCTTGATTTGGTTCTCAAACTAAAAAATCCCTAATTTAGTCTCTGAATTATTGTATGGACCTCCAATTTGGTCTCTACTGTTTACTAATTTATCCTAAATTGATCCTTTCATACAAAAAATAGCTGACGTATTGGTTACTTAACAACGAAAAACAATAATTTAACGACGAAAAATGGTAATTTAACGGTCACGTGTCACATTAATAATAAGATATGTCAGTTAGTTTTTATATAAAAAGACTAACTAGGGGTAAATTGATAAATAGTAGAGATCAAATTGAGGTCCGTACAATAGTTTAGGGATTAAATCAAAAATTTTTTTAGTTTAAGGACCAAATATTAAGTTTGTACAATAATTCAGGAATCAAATGGGGATTTAACCAAAACTAATAGAAGCTTGCGGAGAATAAAAAACTTTGAAAAGTAATCGATTTGTGTTGAAAGGTTGGTTTCTTGGAATCAAAAAATATGTTAAAATTTTGTATTTAAAGGCCTCCATAACTTTTTCACTAAGCAAAAATTAGATTTGGATCATCTCCCCCATCTACAGTGAAAAACAATCTCAACAATCCCAAAATTACCTGCCAATTAGCCAAAAACAAAATTTCGTAGCCAGAAATCACTAAGATCTTGTCGGTTGGAGCTTCCTAAAAATCAAGCATACTCTTCTCAATTGACCCAATCAAATCTCACTTGGATTTGATTCCCAACTTTGCAACTCACCCGTTATAAAGAAAGAAGATGAAATTTTGGATCAAATCTCACTTGAATTTGGTCTCCATCGCACCAACTCTGGAACTCACCTTCCAAAGACAGAAAATGAAATTTTAATCTAAATAAAATATTACCTCCAATCCATAAGCTTTTGATTTCTTTGTAAGAGTCCAAAAAAGTACTTGAGTTATATTCTTCTTGAGGCCACGTGATTATCCTTCTAACTTAACAAAACACTCTTCCTTTAAATCCACTTAAAAATAAAGTTGGATTCATTGGGCTTGATTGACAAAATACCAAGGCTTTAGCCTAGTAAAAATAATTTCTACCAATCTATGGTCACATAAAATAAGTGTCATTTTAAAAATTTGCTAATTATGGTGTAAATAGATACTAACTTGACCAGGCTTTTATTGGTATTTTTGATACATAATGATGATAGAAAAGGGTGCGATTAATCCCAATGGTTAAATCCACTAATAAATTAGTATAGTTGAATCCTCAGATTAAGTTTAGTATTTAACAAAATTTGAAACTTTCTAAATGCTTGGCTGCTATTCGAATCTTTTCTTACAATCAAATCCAAACTACTTCAGTGAACGCAGAGTCACCGCACACGCCGACTCTTGTTTTTGAGGAGCTCAAAAATCTGGTATACATCAGCAACCGTAATGTCTTTGATGAATCAACCGACGCCTAAAGAGAAGAAATTAACAGGTTTAAACCCTTTTACCTAATAAACAACTAAATTTAATCCTTATGAACCGTAAATAAAGATTAATCAATTATGCAAGACAAACTAACTTCTATGTCCACCCCCTGAACTAGCCTGGAAATACAATCAGTTACAGAGTAAGCCATCAAAAAATGCATAACCAATGATATACCAGGTAGAAAAGGAGCTCATCTTGAAAGTCTGCAATGCCATTCAGGATTTCCATTTTTTCTACATGACCAAGATTGTTAAAGAAATCCAGCGCAGCACCATCCCGTTGCTGCTGATTCTCTTCCCTTTTATGGTTTGCCCTTCTCTCGTACTCTGCAATAGAGCCCTCTTGTCAAGCAAGTACTGATATTCTTCTGCCTGTACATATACAAGCATTTCTGGCATCTGCAGAGTGCATCTCTCCACTTCTTGGAAATAAAAATGGGTTCGGCATCCGAACTAGGAACTACAACAACTGCATCCACTTCAAGAACACAAATAACAGATGAATTTGCATGACTTGTGCACTGACTTGAGCTGTTATCCTTCTGAGAACTTTCTCCAATGATACTTTTCGCAATACCATCAGCTGCTAAATCGTCCCTATTGGGAGGTGGATGAGGACCAGTATCACTGTCAGGCTTTGTGGATCCACCACCATGAGTGATGTCTTCTAACACAGCTTTATCCTTACTAGTAGAGACAGAAGCATCAGTTTGGCCACCCACTGCCCATATTGTTGAAGGATATAGCAACAGAAAATAACAAGCCATTGAGCATGCCTTGCATATGAAATCCTCATATAGAGGCTCTCCTTCCTCATCCCTTGGTATCTGTAGAACCATCTCATTTGATCATAAACCATAACCAATGAGGAAAATAACAACTCAAAAGGAATGTAAAAGCTATTGGCTATTGGCTATTGCTGAGTAATAATCTTCTATATTTCCTTTTGACTTTGCATAGGTAAAGCACAAACTAGCCATAGGTCTAACTTACTGTTCAGATTAAACAACACAGCATAGGGATAACAACATTTTGTACAATTTAGCACTCTTATAAGAATACTGCCAGAGAATATTTAAATCAAAAAAATATAATATGATATTAGAAATGCCAAATCATTAGTTCAAGAACACAGCCTACAGATCTCACTGGGAGAGTTCAGACTAATGTGCTCCTCATGGAACCAATCTTCACACATTCAGCATTGTATCATCTCTTCTTGTTCCTCAAGATCTGGATTAGGATAGGGACAAATTGCAAGTACAGTATAAACCTTCGAAGTTGTGATTATAAGAATTCTCATTATTGTCTGTATCCTTATCAGAGAAAAGCTTGCACACAGGAACTGGCCAAATTTTGAATTTCCACAGTCACACCTGAAATTCCTTTTGGTCCAGAGCTCCAGGACCTTGTTTTCATGGCAACACATTAAATTTCTATCAGCTATAAAGATATAGACATCAAACAATGAAAGGATATCAAACAAAAATATACCTCATGGCCATTGTCGCAAGATAAGCAGCAAGCAGTGGAAATTTCAGCATTCCCATTGGGGGTGCATGTTAGGCATGAAAAGATTGCCTGTCTCTTCGTGTAACCCTTAACATAGGTACACTCATCACCCTCATCTCCACCCAAAATCATATCAGCTTCCTTTTTAACAGACAATGATAATAGATTAAAAGATGCCAATAATGGGTAAATGAAAAACGATAGCACTTGAGCAGGTCCAATCTCTTATGATTAAGAATCAACCTCCCAAAGTTTAGGAAAAAACTCAAATAAAGCTAACTTCAGAACAGCACCACCAACACATGCATGGTGCATCCAGCATTAATCATTAACAAATCAAAATCATCATCTCTCTATCAAATAATTTTCTCTAAATTTTGATCAATGCCAGCAATATTTCAGAGAAAAAAAAATGCATTTACACGATTCGGCTATGACAGAAGAAATTAAAAATAATAGAATTTGAATCTGGAAAAAATTTCAAGCCACTACATTTGAGCAAATTAAATCTTGAAATTAACAGATATACTTGACTCAATTTTAAATCGAAGTGCGTGGGGTTGTCCGTTTCCTCCAATTCTTGTATCACTTCAAGTCTAATTGTTGCTTCACTTTATTTATTTTTAATTGATTTTTTTTATAACTAAAATTATATAAAGAGTAATGATAGGCGGGACGATTTTGAGGGATGAAACCGGAGGACGACAAGTGAAGCAGGGTCAAATTGATAATTACTGTTGGGACTGCTTTAATTGTCGTCCTCCGGTTTCGTCCCCAAGATCCTCCTGCGTATCATTACTCTTATATAAAGATTAGTGTGCATCTAGTTCTTACTCTTAAAAATAATTAAAATTTTAATCTATATTTAAAAATTAAAATATGATCATTTAAATATTGATATAAAAATTTAAAAACATATTTTATATTCTAATATAATTAGTTTTTAAATTTAAATATCAACATTTAATAAAATAATTTTTTAAATTATGAATTGAGTTTTAATTAAATAAAATGACATAATTTAAAGTTAGGGCTCTAATTATTTTTAGAAGTTAAGATTGATATATACTTTTTTCAATTATATATATACATATATTTTGTTAAGTAACTGTAGTCTTTTATAAATTAAATTTAAGATTTAAGATTTAAAATTAATAATTAAAAAATTAAAATTTTTAAATATATAAAATTAATATAAAAAATACATTTTTAAAATCATTTAAAAAAAATTAGTTTCAAAATGCCTTTTTCTTATTCAAACATCTTTGTCTTGCGGTTTAAAAATATCTAGCAAATTAAACTATAGACTTGTAATCAAAGTTTACTAAATTGAATCAAATACAATTGAAATCGTAAAATTGAATCGATAAAATCGAAAGTTTACTAAATTAATTTAAAATTTATTTATTACTAAAATTTAACATCAAATATTTAAATTTAAAATTCATCTAAGATGTATAATTACTAATTAATTATTTCAAATCTTTTTTGAACATTTTTCTATTTCATAGTTATTAATTTATTTTAAATTTTAATAATTTTGTCCTAAAAAATTTTGTATAATAAAATATTGTTAATTTAACTTATATAAAATCAATAAAACCTTAAAATTTTTGCTTTAAAACCTAAAAATGCCATATTAGACAAATAAGATTCGAACCACAACCAAAGAATCCATAAATAAGCAATAAGCACAGCTCCACCAATATATTATTAGTCAAAATATGATACAAAAGTTTATAATACCTTTTAAATTTGTAAAATCTTAATTTTATCTAATTTTATCTGATTTTATGATTTTATTGTTTCAAATTTATAAAATCTTGATTTTTACTTAAATTTTACACGAATACATATGTAAAAATTTAATTTTACGGTTTTACGCATGATTTTAACAACCATGCTCCTAATATAATTGCAATCGAACAAGACTTTGGATTTTAGGTATATCTTGCGCCCTTCGGGTGTTTTCTCCGTTTTGAAATAGAGAATTCGGGCCTTTGTCTCTCTAGGAAAATAGATATTCATTTTAGTCAAATGCTTTCATAGTCTGGCCCATAAATTTCATTTTCCTTTTCCTTTGACAGAGTCACAGTTCCAGAAAGACTGTTTCTGTTTTAAGGGTGGGTGTAGGTAGAATAAAATTTATTAATTATGATATTTATAATTAATTTTGTATATATTTTAATATAACATATTCATTTTTTTTTTTAATTTTAATTGGTTAAATGCTAAATTTGGTCCCTCAACTTTAGTGAGTTGCACATTTTTGGTCCCTCAACAATTTTTTGCACTTTTTTTATCCTTAAGCTTTAAGAAATGCATTTCGTTAGTCCTTCTGTTAATTTCGATCGTTAACTCGCTCATGTGGCATTTTTTTATTATTTTTTGATGACGTGGCAAAAACAAATTGAAAACGTGTTGATGTGGATTTTTTTTTCATGCCAACTCACATGATTACTATTTATATTTAAAAAAAAAAATTCCGTCTTCTTCCTTTCTCTTTTTCTTCCTCTTCTTCCTCTTCTTTCTTCCTCTTCTTCCTCGGGCCAGGCCATTGAACCCAATTTGCTAGGTTCGACGGAACCCCGCCTGGGTTCCAGCGAACCCAGTAGATCTGGGTTCGATGGAACCCATTTGTTGGGTTCGATGGAACCCAGTTGCTAGGTTCGACAAAACCCAGATCTGCTAGGTTCGACGGAACCCAGAACCAAGCTCCACTTTTTTTTTTTTATATGATTGTTTGTCAAGATGTTATCCAAATTGCAGGTTGTTGTGAGGTATTTTTGGGCAAACTGGTTTTTTTTTTTTTGTTATATGATTGTTTGCCAAGAGATTATTCAAATTTCAGGTTGTTGCGAGGGATTTTTGGGCAATTGCAGGTTGTTGTGAGGGATTTTTGGGCAATTGAGTTCAGTGAATCGAGCTGGGTTCGATGGAACCTATTTGCTGGATTACATCGAACCCAGATCTGCTGGGTTCTGTCGAACTTCAATCTTGAAAATGGAAAGAACACCGTTTATGGAAAGAAGAAAAACAGTAACCGATGGGCAAAAAAGCAATTCTTAGTGGTGATGTGAGACCCATTTGGATGGATTTGGCATGATTTCGCCAGGGTAGCATGTGACATGGCAGAAGTTTTATTATATCATCACTTTTTTAAGTTTTGCTCTCCACATCATCAAAAAAAATATAAAAAATGCCACCTAAGCAGGGTTAATGGCCCAAATTAACAGAAGGACTAACGGAGTGCATTTTGTATAGTTGAGGGATCAAAAAAGTACAAAAAATTGTTGAGGGACCAAAAATGTGCATTTCATAAAGTTAAGAGACCAAATTAAGCATTTAACCATTTTAATTTCATATTTTTTAATTAAATTTGTTATGAAAATTTTATATAAAATTATTTATAAATATTTTAATTAATAAATTTTAAAGGTGAAAACTGAAAATTAAAAAAATTCCATGTTCTAAAAACAGAACAATACTTTTCACCATCGTTTCCACACGGGTTTGACAAACACCCGACAAGCCGAATGAGAAACGGAGAAAAAATAACATTCGTTTTGAGTCGTTCCCCCAATTTCCAGTAATTTGAGCAAGCTGACTTGTAAAATCGATCAATCAAAATTAACGCTAGACGTATCAACCGGGCCGATCAAAGTCTTCCATTGTTCAAAATCTAACAGCTTTGGACTTTTTAAAATCTTGAATTCAACTCAAACGAATGATTTTGATTTTACAATTCTTAATTTTAGAAGTCGACAACTTAAATAATTCAAAGATCGTTTTTTTTTCGTTGAAATTAAAGGATTTTGAATTCAAATAGTATGATATGTGAATTATGTAAGATAAAAGTTGAGAGATAATTGTTTCTCATTATGTAACTAAAATCAAACTAAAAAAAAAGAGTAATGATACATGAGACGATTTTGGGGGACGAAACCACGGGACGACAAGTGAAGCAGTTCCAATTGTAATTATCAATTTAACCCTGCTTTACTTGTGGTCCCGTGGTTTCGTCCCTCAAAATCGTCCCGTGTATCATTATTCAAAAAAAAAAAAATTCCTAACTTCAAAGGGTAAAAAATAAAAATAAAAAACCAACATTGACATCAGCATATTTTAAAATTTTTTTAATTTTTTTTAACTTTAAAAAGATTTTAAATAGTAAAGAGTTCAAAAACTTCAAATTTTTACTTTTTATAAATTTCATTTTTACTCATGATTTAATCACTTTTTTTTATTTTTAAAAACAACTTTAAAATTTTTCGTTCAATAAAAATTTAAACTCATCACTTATAAACAATACAAAATAAAAAATAAAAACTCTTACAAACTAATTCAAACATGTTTTAAATATCTATGAAAATCTATAACTCATGTTATTGAATTTATTTTTTTTTTCTTTTACTCTATTTGTTACAAAGTCAAGACTCATGACCTTATTTGTTTGATTCTTAGCTAACATATCAAATTTTTTACTGAGCAATTGTAATACGGTTTTGTATCTTGACTCTTGACATTTGACCACTATTGCTTGTCTGGGAAGGATAATGCTCGGAACAAACGCAGACACCCATGAGAAGAAGGCACTCAAAAGTTAATTTTATTTAAACTATAGACCAGAAGCCTCGACAGAACCACAAATTGACCCCATTCTCTTTTTAGACTCCTCGTCAACGGTAACCAATGGTTCATAAACATTGCATTTCCAGGCTCTTTATTAATACTAGACTAGAAAATGCAAATTTCCGATTTACATCCTGTTGACCTCAAATTCTAGCTGCACCTCGGCAGCAAAACAGAGGAAACATGTCTCTCACAGCAGTACTCATCTCTTTCTTGTTTTGTTTACTCTGTTTTTACACACCAACCACCACCGCTCATATCTGCCAGATTTCATGCTCCGGTAAGCGCGACGCCCAGGCGTTTTGCTGCCCGTTCGGTCAAGACGAAACCTCAAACAATAGCTGCAGCTATCCAAGGCTTTCCATGTCATGCAACGATCAAAACAGAACAATCCTCACACTCCCAAATTCTGACCAACTGCCTGTCCTAGCCATCCACTACAAAACCAGGAGAATTAATCTCACCCGCCCAAATTCATGCATTCGTGGACGCTGCCACAAGGGATCTTCAGATCCTACCTGCTCTCCTCTTAGTGCAGTAAAAGATAACGATGATTCAAGGGATCCTACCTGCAGCTTTGTCCTGGTCTTGGAATGGTCGAAGGCGAACTGCAGTCTGTGTGAACAGCTCGGTGGGACTTGTCGTGGGTTCAAGAGTAATCAGTGTCCGGAAATCGAGTGCTCAGATGTTAGTGCAGTAAAAGATAACGATGATTCAAGGGATCCTACCCGCAGCTTTGTCTTGGTCTTGGAATGGTCGAAGGCGAACTGCAGTCGGTGTGAACAGCTCGGTGGGACTTGCCGTGAGTCCAAGAGTAATCAGCGTCCGGAAATCGAGGGCTCAGATGTTCCATCCGAAGGTACTGCTATGTCCATTGATTAATTTCCGGTTTGCCGTCCATCAAAAGAATCAAAATATTTAAAACGTTGACTTAGTAAAAGACCCCTAAAAGTAGATGACCGGAAATAAAATTGATCCTTTGATCCTCAAGCAATTAATTTTCCTTGCATTGCAGGACATCCGATTCCCAGAAGTGCAAGATACGGAATAATCATAGGCATCGGAATACCGATAATTTTGTGTTTTGTTGGACTTACCTGTTACATCTGCAGTAGAGTCTACGCTTATACTCACCGGCGCCGCCACCCCACCACCGAATTCTTAACATCAATAGCCTTGCAGCCAGCTGTGGGAAGGGCAGGACTTGATGGACCGACAATTGAATCGTACCCCAAAACACTGCTAGGTGAAAGTCGGAGGTTACCCAATCCTAGTGACAACACCTGCTCCATATGTTTGTCGGAGTACCAGCCCAAGGAGGCGTTGAGGACCATACCGGAGTGCAAACATTATTTTCATGCTGATTGCATAGATAAGTGGCTAAGGATGAATACGACTTGCCCACTGTGCCGGAATTCACCTGGACGATCGATGTCAGTCACCTCCTCCACATCATTGTCTTCCTCTTCTTCTTCCATATCGTTGGTAATCTGGGCTGTCTAGCTAGGGTTCAAACATATATTTTTTTTTCTTTTTGATGTCCTGTATGTATATAAATTTAGCCCATAATTAAGGAAAATAATAATGTTTTCAAATCACATAAATTAAACCCTCTTCGCCAAAAAAACAGCATCTTAAAGAAACAAGTTTTCGAAAATGGTAGAGATACAAATTACTTATTTGATTGCAATGCTACAACTACAGTTTGTTCATATAAATTTTTTTTTTAAAAAAAAAAACTACAGCTTGTTTGTATAAGATATTTTTAGCTACTTATTGACCTAATATATTAAAAAAAAATTAATTTTTTAATGTTATCTTTAAAATTTAAATTATGAATCTAATTATAAAATGATATTTAGTTACTATTAAATCCAACTTTTAAGATTGTGTATAGTTTGTCTTATCACATCTCCAATCTAAAATTAATGATATTTCTAAAATGATATTTGTGCATAATCTTTCTTCTAATAAAGAATGCTCAAATTGCCCAAACTATAAAAAAACAAACGGATGAATAAAATCAATAACTATAAATTTAAAGTTAAATTCCTTGCACGACAGGGTATGAACCACTTATTTTAAAAAAATTTATAATGCCTTTTGTACCTAAATCCCTAATTAATCAAAACACAGAGTAACCATGTTTTAAGTTTGCAAGCAAATCTAAATAAATTAGATTATTTTTCATTATTTGATTATGTTTTTTTTTTCCAATGAAGAGAAGAATTCAAATAAAAATACTTTTTATCAACCCGTTTTACCCTGTAAACTTGGCCATATCTTCCGAGAGGAAACGCAGCACCGGAGTGTTAGGCCTCACTGGGTCACTTGGCTTTTCAAAGGGGTAAACGTTTTTTTCACGTCTCCACCAACGTGAGTCACACGCTGTTGGCGGATGTTATGGGAATTTTCTCCCATGCCTTAAAAGTTAAAACTTACTCTTATCATTCTATTGTACACAAAAATAAAAAAAGAATATTATGAATTGATAATATTTATGCTTTGATATTTTTTTGCTTCAGTGTCGATTCTACTAAATTTTAGCATTGATTTTTTATTATTTTTTTCTTAATCTTTGATTAGATTAACAGATGCTCCATTTTTTTCAATTTTAATAAAATTAATTTTTTATTTAAAAATTTAAATTTAATTGTCTATTTTTAATGTTATTTAATATACTTATTTTTTTTCTTTCATTTTAAAAAATAATTATAATATTTATTAAATAAAAAATATTATTTAAATGATATTTAGATAGAAATAAATATAAAATTCCATCATTTTATGCAACAAAATCAATTTCTTTCGCTATCGCGGAAACTGTAATACAATGTAAAGGGTAATGAATGAGGAAGGGTAAATAAGACATTTAATAAATCATTACCTTAGAATTTAAATAAAAGATTATGGGTTCTCTTCCCTTCTCTCTCCTCATCTCTAATTATTTTGTTAATCAAATAGTGAAAATTTATTCTTTTTTATTTTCTTAATCTAAATATATTATTATTAAATAAATAAATTTTACGTACATTTATGATATTGATTTTATAAAAGTTTTTACTTTAAATCAAAATTTTAATTTAAGATCTCCACTCAATTAAGAACAAAAATTAAACAGAGTCACTATAAAATAATTTACCGAAAAATAAGCAGTGCAATTGCTAATCTTTATCCCTTAATACAAGCACTTTAAAATAATAATAATAATAATAATAATTACGTCTGAATAAAAAAAGTTCATTTATTTTTATCTAAATCCAGTTTAAGAAGAAAAAATAAATTCAATTTACAAAAAAATATTCTAAATTTTTAATCCAGCTAACTTGAAGTGTTTGTCATAGCACAAGTCAGATTAAAGGAGTAGTAGTAATATCTTTTATTTATTTTGAGTGGAATTAATTTTTT